AATCATTTGGATAGAAGGAAGGCAAGAAAAAAAAATAAAATAAAAACAGACACTGACATGCTCATTTCAATCGAAAACGTAAACATGATTTACTATTTATAGTTTCTTCCGGATTTGAAGATGCATAAACATTTTTTTTTTTGGTGACTCTACAATATACAAATGTTGTGAACATGACATCATGAGACATAAGATGAGCTTGTTTCGTCATGTGAAAACAATAAATTTGCTTAAACAATGATGATGATCGCAATTGTTTTGTGCTGGGTCCTTATGATGATCTGGAATTTAAAAAATAACCTTTTAACATTTTTACAAAAAAAAAATATTCAAAGAACAAAAAATTTCATAAAAAATTTAAAACAATTGAAAAAAAGTTTAAAAATTGAAAATTTGAAAATGTTTAAAAAATTGAAAAAATTGTAAAAAGAAGTAAATATTTGAAAAAAATTTAAAAAAATGAAAAAATGTTAACAAAAGCAAAAATACGAAAAATAAAAAATTTGAAATATTTTTGAAAAATTAAATAAATTTAAAAAGTTGAAAAATTATATAATATTATAAAATCAACATAAGCTCAAAAATCTCCCAAAATCATTACACGAGCCAACTCCACTTTACAGGAGCATAAACACAATAAAAGAGAAAAATTTGCATTAATGCAAGAAGTCACTCGAAAAAGCCAAACAAAAGGAAGCATGCAAAATTGAAATTTTCATTCTTACTGTTCAAGATTTACATGCAACGTCATCTTGACCTCATGATGCTATTCTTGAAAATTTATTTACTGCTGTTACGAAAAATTACAGATCTTTTTTTTTGTTGTCTATTGCTCCAATTATTTTTGTTGGCACAAAAGAAATAAAAGGAAAAAGTTACCTAAAAATGACACAAAAGAATCTATTTTAATTTTTTTAAAGAGAAATCTGGAAAAAAAAATGGGTCACATAAGACAAGGAAAATGAAGTAAGGAACAAAAATAAGTCACATGTTAAGACATGCTTATGATTCTGTTAGAGTAAGAAATGTGTAGATCCGAATGGAACGAAGCAAGCGACAGAGTCAGATAAAAAGTATTTTTTGTAACTTAAGGTTCAAATTAGAACATGATTACAATAAATGAATGAATGATCTAAAGTAGATCCGTCAAATTTTAACCTTAACATCCTCAAAAAAAATTGTCATTCAAAATAATACAAAAAGAATCTCGTAAGTTCATAAAACAAAAGCAGTAAAAAAGAATGATTTTGTGCAACAAAAAAATTCCATAAGCATTGCATTTGCATAACAAAAAACAGGAGAGACAGTCAAAATTCAGCTCCTTCAGCACATGCATTGACATATAAATAATGCATGAATGACATCAGAAGAAATAAGTTTTTTTTTTCTGCTAGCCTCACAAAAAAAAAGAGGTACAAAAGATTCAAAAGAAATCAATCAAATGGCGTTTTATTCAAATGAGATGATGATGATATTAAATTTTTATATATGAATAATTTGCGTTGGACTCTCGACCCGCTCAAGGTTTTTGAATATGATACTTAAATGATATTTAATCATTGCAGAAATATGCAAAAGAATATTTGTTTTGAGGAAGGGAAAAATAAAATACAGAAAAAAATTGTCAAGAATAAATTGGATGAGTGTGTTTAAAATTTAAGATTAAGACGCATCTGGTGATCAACTGAAGATTTAGGGACGTTCAACTTGACTAGCGATAACCTCAACTAACGCTCAGCTTAACGAATGCTCAGCCATACCAATGCTCAGCTTGATTAATGCCTCAGCTTGATTGACGCTCAGCTTGATTAACACTCAGTTTAAATGAAGCTCAGCTTGAGAGACGCTTAGTTTAAGAGACACTTATCTTAATAAACGCTCAGCTTAAGAAACGCCCAGCTTATGAGACGCTCAGCCTTTGAGACGCTCAGCTTATGAGACGCTCAGCTTAAGAGACGCTCAGCTTATGAGACGCTCAGCTTATGAGACGCTCAGCTTAAGAGACGCTTAGTTTAAGAAATGCTCAGCTTGACCAAAGTTTAACTAGGTTGATGCTCAGCTTTAAAACTCACACTCCTGACTAACCTTCATTCAGTCAGCCACCCAATCCAACACCATAAAATTCCTTACTCAACCACAACACCAGCACAAGAAGCTGCTAAAAGAAATAAATTTTACAGCTTAAACGCGAAGAGAGAAAAAAAATATAATAAAATAATAAAAATAAAAAATTTTAAATACTCGACTCAACGTGACAAATTATCTCGCCTCAATCATTTGACAATTAAGAATGACTAGTATGTGTTTTAACAGCCGCCTTCTTCCGATATTTATCCGACAACGTAAGATGAAAAATCTCCGTACGATCTATATGCTGTATAAAAATACTCTCACTATATCAGCTTAAATAAAATAAACATAGTGTCAGTGACTGTAGAACGTTGAGCATAGAAATATATATTTTTATAATACCAATAATGTGTAGCGTTCCTGGTGGTCACATTCAAAACGTTTTTCGGAATGCCGTCTTCAATCAGCATCAAAGGCGATGTGAGGGAGAAAAAAAGAGTCACTAAGTCACTTAAAAAAATGTTAAAAAGTACAAATTACTTGATTTACTGTCGGTTAACTACGTGACTATGTTCCTCATGTAATTTATGGACGTCTCCTTTCTCTTTCTTCCTTCTCCAGAGAGAAAGAAGTCTTCTTAATAAATCATTTTGTTAAATTCTTCAAGTGTGTATTTAAGAGGTCTAAAGATAGACACATTATGAACATGATAAGAGTAAATACTTACATGTTTGGGCGAGATAAGGGTGAGATAAGAACAAAAGAAAAAGTGCATAAACATACGAAGACGAGAAAGTGAATTAAAAAGTTTATGAAGTCAGGATGGTAATTAATGGAAGCTTCATAATAACAAGCATGTTATTTAATAAACATGAAATGATAAATTGGATATGATGGGGTTCTTCAAACTTACTAGGGTGTTGACGGTGGATTAGGGAGTTTTAAAATTGAAATTTTAAGGAAGCTAGAATTCTGAACTAGATTTCAAGATTTAAACTTCCAAGAAATGTGGATCTCAAGTCTGAATCTTTGATTTGTTTATTAAAAGGGGAAAAAGGAATTGTCTCTAGTGGGAATCGAACTCAAGCTCTCATGATTTGCTGTAGCATATTCTAACATTTAAGCTATCTTAGGCTGCTTTAAAGTTTAGCAGAAACTAAACTTAAACTATCAATCGGCTCTAGTTAAGAACCTCCAAGAGTAAAGTAGTCCATAGACCACCAATCCACTCCTAAAATTCACGATACCTTCAAATCTCAACCCTCCAAACTTCCCCTATCCACATCCAAATCTAATGAAATCAATAAGACACCAATTATCAGCAATAATCCTCAATTTTCACATTCCAATAAATATTTATTTAACCAACAAAGAAACCAACTCTCATCGTTCCTTTATTATATTCCCATGATCAAGTCATGAAAATTCCGTTTCTTCTTTCTTTCATTCCCTTCTTTTTTTTTCCTCTCTCCGTGTGTCGTACCAAGCATAAATTTCATTTCTCCTCGACAACAATCTATTCAAACTGAATCCTACAGGTGCGTAAATCATTTTGCACTTATAGGCAGAATGAATATCTTTCTACATCTTCCTCTCCCCTTCCTTGTATTATTTCATATAAATAATATTAGCAGCCAACATTGGAAACAAGCTGAACCGGTTTGTTACTCTTGCGGATCAAAGAAAATTTATTGCCTTCGATGTGTGGTTTACGCAATAGATTTTCAATATTGTTGCTGTCTCGCTCTGATTCATTGGTGATTCTCATGATTGCCATTGCAGTGCTGTTGAGAGGGGTCGGTTGAATGTTACGTGATGCTTAATATATGCATTTATTGACCCAACCCCTCCCTCATCACAGAAATTGATCTTCATTAAATTGTCAAAACTCACTAATGGAGGTTAAGCATCATTAAGGATCCTTAACGTCACACAACACCCAAACAACTCCCATCTGGGAAAGCAGATTATTGACTCCTCATGTAACTTTTGCTACTTAGCTAAAATGTTATTATAAAGCGACTGTGAAAGGGTAATCATATGCTTAAATTCTTCCTTCTTTTCCTTGTCGAATAAAATTGAGATTTATTGCTTGTTGATTCGCGAAGGGTCATAAGATTATCTTTGGTATTTTTTTTTATTCGGGGAAAGTATTCATGAAGGAAGAGGAAGAGGATTGAGATTCAATTATTTTTTGAAAAAATTTGGAAAGCATTGCTAGAATTTTTGGAGATTAAAAATTGATCCGGGTGTCAAAATGAAGATGTGGGTAACATGCTAGGCTGGGAATAAATCATTGAGGGGTAATAAATTATTTATGCTGGAGTTTAGGTAGAATTGGATGTCTTAGGTTGACTGCTGTTAGAATTTTCTTGCAGGATGTTGATTTTATCAGTCTATAGAGTCAATGCTGAGACAATTTGGTTTGGGATCATTAGTGAATGACGTCGATTTGTAGTTGAAATGGTTTGAGGAAGTGGGCACATAAGACTGTGCCAGACCTTCTAAAACCAAGGCGTGGAAACTATCCCAAATATCCCATTTATCTCCAAAATATTCAAAATAATCAATTCTAATGCATACAGGCTCAGGGATTATTTTGAATATTTTTGGGATTTATGGGATAAATGGAATAGTTGGGAAAGTTTACACGCCTTGTTTAAAACCTATTGAATAACATGTGCATCCCAACACCTCCTCCTCCATATCCTACTTCCCAAAATTAATTATTTTAAAAAAATTATAAGCTTGTCAAATACTCAATTTCCCCCCGCACCTTACTCCCCACAATTATTATAAATCTTAGTTTGCAAGCTTTTGAAGTCACATTAAACCATTACTAAATTCATAAAAAATAATTATTTTCTTTTCATATGGAATACCTTTACGTTATTGACGATGGATTAACATTTTATTTCGAACATAAACAGCACGTTAGTATATTTTACAATTTATATTTATTTTTAAAAAACATTATTTGAGACGTAAATTGAGTGAGTCCATGGCTTGCAAAATTTGATTATTTATTTTGTGTGATGGTAAGAAAATTTATTTAGGAAGTAGGTCAGGATTTTTGAAGGAGGGTGTCATAAAACAATCATTAGGTGCCAAAATGCTAGCGATTTTTTGAATAATTTATAGAATTTGAGCTTTGAAAGCTTAGCACGAGATGAACTATGATCAAATCAATCCAACTAAATCCGACGAGGTCCAACTAGATCCAACGAGGTATGGCTGCTTACACAGTTTACATACCTCGTCGGTACTTCACCTCTACTTCGGGACTAGAGTCTTATGACATCGATATATTGCAAAACTATTGCTATTTTGAGGTCCAATTACAGAACTGCTTATGATTTGCAACCAATCTGCAAAAATTCCACTAGTTTAAAGTATCCTTACCCCTGCCAATCCCCCTTTAAGCTACATAACACCTAATCAACACCAAACCCAACAAATACCAAAAATATTCGCACATTAAATCGCTTCCCACTATTTTCTCTAGATCATCACTCATCAATCCTATCAAACATCAATTCCTCATCATCCACCTTCAAAAGAAAACGAAAATATTTGTTTTTCCCATCAACAAGACTTCCATTACTAGTCAATACATGACATGCGTGTGCCCATTTTTTTTCCACGGCACTTTAAAAGGTTTGATTCCATGTACGATGATCGTTGAGCTATTAAAAAGCCATTTGTACGTTACACCTTCACTGGCTTTTATTATCTATATCTCATTTTTTTTGAAAAATTAAGTGACGTAATCAGACAGAAATGTTGACCGAATGTTTGAAATTTTAAAATAAATGAAAATGAAAACAAAATACTTTCATGATCCTGAGCATCATTAATCTTTTTTTTTTACTTTTCTGTGAATTTATATATATACATGGGGATCATCACTGGAATAAAAACACTAAATATGTATTATGGTGTTAATTTAATCAATTACACTTATAGTCGGTGTGTAGATATTTTTCATTTTTCAATATAATAAATGAATAGTCACGGCATAGTGTGGTCATGGATTCATGGATATAAACATCAATATGCTTATTATTTTATTGCCATTGTGTGGATATAATTTTCACATTAAAAGATACTTAAACATTTCTTTTCTCGCTGACTGAAGACGATTATGAAATTTTATTTTTATTTTTATAATAAAACAATTAATCATTCAATTTGTATTTTTATTTTCTGGAGAGAAAAAAAAATTCACATGCATTTTTTAAAGTTTTGTTAAAACAATTTAATATTTTTTATTCTTCTTCAATTTTGAGGATTATTGTGGGTTTGGTTGGGTTTATTGGCGCATTTTTTTAATAATTTTGAATATTTTTTCTACTCTAGTTAAATTTTGAATTATTTTAATATTGAAAGTTGCGATTTAATGATTGTGAACTAGAATGAGCCAGTGGCGTAGTGACCAAGATCTCTAGTATCTCAAAACAATTAAAATTGACAAGAACATCGTGAGTTCTAATCCTATAAATTCAGTAAAAATCAATTTTCATAATTTTTCATACTAAAAGTGACTATAGCTAGCTGGCTAATGGTATAACTTAGTATATATGACTAGAAGTCGAGATATAGGACATGCACCCCCTGTAGTACCCCCAATTTTGAGCAACCAGTCAAACCATCATCTCTAAACCCATCCAAATCTCCATCAAAAATCCACCCAAAACCTCCAATCCAACATAAAACAAATCAATCCCCAAAAATCCACAAAACACTCAAATTGAATTATATGAAAAATATTTCAACATTTATTTCATTCAAATTTTCAAGCATAAAAATCAATTCCACAAAAAGTGAGAGAAGAGATGTTTATTAATTTTATACAGATAAGCTTTTGAAATGAGAAATGAATTTATGATGAATTAAGTGACACCAAAAATATAAAATAAAACTTTATAAGAGATGTCTTCTCATCTATCCATCTACAACATCATTAATTTTATTTGTTTGTTGAGCGCGAAAGTTTTTACGACTCGTTAGATTTGCATGACGAGCTGCGAATGATGACAATGTCTTTTATAGGTGAGGCAATGCACAAAGTATTGAACATGGGATAGAAGCTTACGATGTGTTTTGTAGAGGGGTCAATTACAATACTTGTGTGGCAAGTCAGGCTGATTAAGTCAGGATTACCAATGCGAATAGTTAGCTTGACAAATTGGTAATTTGAATAAATATTTGTTGACTGATTTGAGTCCAGAGATGGGATATAAGTTGTGATGCAAATAATTTTGTAACTGATGCAGAAAATTCTGAATTGATGCAAAAAATTCTTAATTGATGCTGAAAACTCTAAATTGATGCGGAAAACTCTGAATTGATGCAGAAAATTCTTAATTGATACAGAAAACTCTGAATTGATGCAGAAAACTCTGAATTGATGCGAATAATTCAAGTTTGATGCAAAAAACTTCAAAATGATGCAGAAAATGAAGCGAACAATTTAAAAATGATGCAAAATCACTTTGATGTCCCACCGAGTTCTCTAAAATTCCCACAACTGTCTCAAAACGTCTCATATGCCACAACTCATTCAAGTCTCATTCTCATAAATTCTATAAATAAATCCCTTCAAACATTCTGTCCAAAAACTGTCCTTCCAAACCGATACGAACTCGAACAAATTACCCAGGGCAAATTAAATGTTGATTAATTACATTAAAGCTCTCGATTCGTTGTAAGACATGAAATTCGATTCTCTTCTTTCTCCTCCGTCTGAAACAGTTTCTGTTCTTTGTTCAATCTTATTTTTTCATGCTTCTCTCGCTCTTCATTCTTTAATGCTATTTTATCGATTTTCAATTCATATCAACTCCAATGGCTTTTGATTGACAGCAAAATTTAATCAAAAGCTGATCAAGGAGTAAAAATTCCTCAAACAGTTATCAAGAACAGATTTGCTTAAAGCAATTTGTGGAATTTTATTTCTGTTGTGCATGTAAATCTGGATTTCTTGTAGAGAGTTTGAGGAACTTAAAGCAGAGGGAGGGAATGGAGGTGAGAAAGAGAAGACAAGACAAAGGAATTGAGGGTTTTTGTGATAAATGATTGAAGTTTTTTTTGTTCGATAACGAATATTTTTGAATTAATGGTAAATTTAAAGGTTATGTGCTGGTTACTAAGGTTAGGTTTGTAGTTTTTGAGGTTATGTACGGGTTTTCGAGGATAAGTTTGCAGTTTTTAAAGTTAATTCCTGGATTTTCAGGAAAGGTCTGCATTTCTTGAGCTTGAGTGCTGGATTTTGAGGTTAGGTCTACATTTTTTGAGGTTAGATGCTGGTTTTGAAGTTAGGTGCTGGTTTTTAGGTTAAGCGATGGTTTTCAGGTTTCATGATGGTTTTGAGGTAAGATTTGTAATGTAAAAGGATATGAACCAAACTTTAAGGTTAGACCAAAAATTTTTGAGGTTATGTAAAAATTCCAAAACAAAGTCTTTAAAATTGACATCCGAAATTATCAAATCTGTCCCCAAACAACTTTTAATTCCACCTGAAAACCCAAAAGAAATCTCCAAATCATAGCTTCACACATGTCACTAATTAACGGCATTAAGTTAAGTTTTTATAATTGACCTCACACATGAGCATGAACAAATCACTCTAATTCTATTAATTATTACACTTGATAGTCTCTGTTTTTAATCTGATATTACAAATTTTAAAACAAAAAATTCCGTTAATTAAAAATCCATATCGACTTAGCGACATTAAGAGTGTAGCGAGGATGAATAAAAAATAAAGAAGAACGAGAAGAAGTTTCACTTATTTCTAATTCCAAGTTATTAATAATTAGTCATATTTCTTGGGAAATGTACAGAAATAAAAAAGACGATTTCTTTTTAAATTTATATGGACGTCTTAGATGGATGTTGAGTAAGGGGGGGGGGTCTATTTTAAATGATTCTTACGTTGACTAAACCTGAATCGACAATTATCCTTCAATGTTCTGACCGATGATCCACTTGAACAAACGCAATCCAACACCCCCCCCCCCCCCTCCCCACCCACATTTCTACAATTCCTTATTTAAAAATATCCAAACTTAAAAGCGAAATCTGAGCATTTAAAATTATTAATCTCTTAAAGAACGAGAAGAACAGAAAGTGAAAAATCGATTGAAACTAGCGCACTTTGATGTTAGATAGATGGAATGTGTGTAAAGAAGGAACTTGTGGCTTAAAGAAAAGAAATTCCTTTTTCTCTTTCTTTTAAATCCATCTTCAATTAAATATCAACAAAATGTCTTTGCTGACGATTAAAGAGATTTTATGAAAATTATATTTTGTTAAATGAAAGAAACACTTTGTTAAGTCACTTTGAAGTTGATTTTCATTTTGAATTGAAGGAAATATGAGGAATTGAGAATACGGTTTTGTGGTTGCATTTGAGATAGAATGAAGAGTTGGGAGGGGAATAAAGCGCATTTTTTTTTGAATTTGGATTGAATTTTTTGGGTTTGTGATTTTTTTAGGAGCGTAGAGGTGTGTTTATGGAGGAACAAGGGATTTAATCTCGAAAATTGACAATATTTTCAACTTAGCCTTAGTTTTGAACCGTTCAAGCAACCTAGTATACCCTAGTAAGATTTTATACAAACATTTCATTAAAACCTATCGAATTAGGCCCCTAAAATAATCTCATATCCCCCAAAAAATATCCACAGCATCGAAAAAGAGCAAAACTAAAGAAAAAGAGAGAAAAAAACTGAGATTATGTTAATCACACTTGATTAATAACTTTATTAAAAGGCAGTGACGTCCGAATGAGGCAGACTTTATATATAAATGTATTTAAATATTACTTACATTCAATGTCAAAACCTGATTTCAATTAGACATAAGAAAAAAATATTTTATTTTCGCGTGGAGCTGCGATTAACTGCTGAGTAAGAATTTCAAAATAATA